GATGTCTAGGTCTTTCGGAAAGGGACACTTCAGAGTAGCCCAGCATCTGGTAATATCCAACTTCAGTGAGTTGGCAGAGAGTTACAGGTGGCGATAGAGCCCCCAGAGAACTAAAGACAGAAAGGTCCAGCTTGATTTCACTTTTGTGGTTTGACTTTTATACAAAGGGTTCTTCATTCCCTATCATTTACTCATTCATTCAGCAAGTATTCAGTGAAGTTGGCTCTGTGCCAGGCACCACCCTAGCTCCTGGGTCCAGCAATGACGACAACACAGTACCTCGTGGGGTACTTATTGGGGCATTTCTCTACGGCCGTCCTGTAGTGAATTGCCCTGCCAGCCAGTCCTGCCAGGAGGAATTCTTCATTTCACAGATGAGGTATTGCTCCTCTTTCCTCCCAACCTAAGTCAGCCTTAGCCCCTCTCCTCTCTGGCCTGCCCACCTTCTGTGCCGCCAAGGTCTCTTTCGAGAAGATGGACCTCTCAGGACCAAATGGGAGATTTGTTTGATTTCTTCCTTATCCTTGGCAAGGACTCTGAGTTTTTAACTAATAAGGCAGAACGCATCAACAGGAAAAGAAAAAGAAGAACTTTCCTTTGCCAGTGTTGCTTAGTGACCTTGTCAACATTCCCTTTCAGCCCGGCGGAATTCTCTCTGTATATTTTTATAGCACACATCATGTTTTATTGCTATAATTGATCTACTAGGCAGAAAATATGGAGAACACATGGAGCTCCTGTCAATTTTATGCTGTTTATTTGGATTTCCATTTTTCTCTTTCCACAAGACCTCCTTCTTTATCCTCGTTTTTCATCCCTAACCTGGAAATACTGTGAAGGAACCACATCACTATTCATATCGGTGCATTTAACTTAGTAATTTAAAAAGCAAAAGCCAGTAAACTAACCTCAAAACTGGACACCACATTGTGGACTTTCTCAGAGGCGGGACCAAGTTTTCAGTAGCTGTGTATCCTTTGTGCCTCAGCCCCGTGTCTGGCATATAAAAGACCTTTAGTGAGTGTTTATTGGTTAAAGAGCAATTGGTTTCACATATTTATCGAGAACGAGCATCGTAGTGGGTGCTATTCACAACAGAATTTGCTTGTCGTTTCCACCCAGGGGCAAGGCTCATGACTTGCTCTTTTCTTCCTGGAGACGGCGAGGACAGAGAACAGTGCCCGTGTTGTTGCCAGCACTACGTTTCATTGAGCCAAAGAGGCGCGACTGCGTGAGGCTGCGCAGCCACCTTCCAGCTGGTACTTGTGAAAAGGTCTTCCTGGGCATCGCCCAGCTTCTGGGTGCTGTGCTGTCCAAATGCATCAAGATCCAAGGACCCGGTCATTGTCACCATCTGTTAAAGCCATTGTATTCAAAACACTCAGTCTCTGGCCATTCTTTTTCTCAAACGCACATGCAAACTCTACTGAAAATGTTTATGATACCCACAAAACAACACATGGAAGTTCGTTTAATCATCTCTTTACCCAGCCTGTCAGGCTGCCCGGCAACCTAGGGTTCCTCAAAGCACGTATTTCTCCTTAGATTTTATTAAAACGCAGACTTGGATCTACCAAGTGGGAGGGGGCCTGAGAGTCTGCATTTCTAAGATCCCTCAGTCAGATCAGGCCTGGACAGTTCAGCGTCATCCACGGACCAGGTTTGGCACCACAGGGGGCTTGTTAGAAACACAGGCTGTTAGGTGCCATTTCAGAACTACTGGATCAGAACCTGGGTTTTAACAAGATCCCACATTAACATTTGAAAATCATTATTTTAACCATTTAATATGCTTAAAATGTAAATTATAGGTAGGGATCCCAGTGGGGCTCTGAGTTGGAAAATAGGGCCAGGTGTACTTCCTGTTCCCGTTTCCAATTCCAAACTCTTGGGTACCCACCCCAGGGCAGCACTGACACGTACATAGAGACCCAGACAGATGCCTCTTGGTTTAGTTGTTCAGTGCATGATAAGCCTGTCATTCTCCATCCTGGATTGCACCGGCCCAGCGACCAGCCTCACCCCCTTGCCAGAGAACATCATTCTAGACAAAAGGTTTGACCAAGAGAGACGTCCTCATGTCTGAGCATGTCAGAAAGATAACACATTTGGAACAAGTACCAGCCCCTCAGGGCTTTGCGACAAGGAGGACTTGCTCTGACTGTTCCGTCTTGTTCACACACACACATCAGAGCCTGGCTTGGCGTGGAGGAAGCTGTCCACGTTCGTGCCTGTGCAGCAGGCCCTCAGGCGGGGGGGAGACAGCACAGCTAGTGATGCCAGGGGTCACGTATGGAGAGAAGATTGCTCTGAGGACCCTGACACTGATGGCACCCTCATGATCGGAACAGCAGGACACGTCTGATTGGCTGGAGCCGTGCGGGGGTGGCTGCTGGTTGTTGCTGTTTCACTGTCAGCAGTTACGTATCTGGAATACAGAAGGACCACTGTCTCTTTTAAAAGAAAAAAAAACAAAACAAAGGCAGGGTTCACCATCTTTTCTCTGTCTTCCCAACCCCCAACTCATATTTTTATTTTGCAAATGCCCTTTGAAGGCCCTGTTTTCTTAAGCTTCTTTTGAGGTAGGCCAAACCTTTGGGAAGGTATGGTTTTGAAAAAGAGATTAGCATTTATTTTTCTAGTTTCATTGTTTGTGTGGTGATATTCTTCCTGGTGATACCCCCACGTACCCAGGGGTGGGATTTCACATTCGCGGGCAGAGAGTGTCATGTGACCTTCTTTCCCATCTGGGTCTTTCTGTGGGGTGTGTGTATGTTCAATGCCATGTGAAGAGGGGGACAAATACCTCATCATGTGGAATTTCAGGGAAAACCTAATAGGAAGAGGGTGGGGATAAGAGGAGGAAGCACACGAGGCTGCGGGGAGTGGCCAGGGAAGGCATTTAGCTGAAGGTCAGCAGTTCTGAGCAAGAGCCGAGCTATGAGAAGGAATCTGAATGTCTCAGCTATTGCTTTGTTTTGCTTTATTTTGGGGGGTTGTTTCGTTTGACTGAATAACGAAGGTAGAATATGTCACCAGGCCATGTTTGAGTATAGTAACAGAAGCCTCCTAGGTAAGGAAAGAGTGCTTCAATCCACTTTAACTTGTTTAACTCCAAGTCCGGATTCCCCCGTGGGACCTCTGACTCTGGCCACAGCCCTCGGCTACTTTGCTAGCACTTGACCCATGCATGGATCAGTCTATTTCCTCTCTGCTTCTAGGCCTCAGGACACAGTCTTTACCTCCAGCCAATCTATACTTGTAATGTTTGGGGAGTGTGTGGATGGAAACTCTGGATGGAGCTTCATGAACCAGCAGAAAAAAACAGGTTGAAGGGCATCGCTTTTAAGAATATAAGGCCACTTGCCTGGCCGGTGTGGCTCAGTAATTGAGCATCGACCTGAACACCAAGAGGTAGTTGGTTCGATTCCCAATCAGGGCACATGCCCAGGTTGTGGGCCAGATCCCCAGTGGGGGGCATGCAAGAGGCGGCCAGTCAATGTTCTTCTCATAGATGCTTCTATCTCTCTCTCCCTCTACCTTACTCTTTCTCAAAAAAAAAAAAAAAAAATCCATAAAGAAAAAAATAAAAATAAAGAATGTAAGGCCACATGGATAGAGCATTTGCTAGGAGTCATAAAACTGAATTTTAATCCTAACCATGCCCCCTACTAGCTATGGGGGACCTTGTTGATCAAGTAATTTTATCTCTTGGAGACCTAGAGCTAATGACACCAACTACAAATCTACTATACCTACTATAAATCTAGTATAAACCTCACCAGAATTTGATGTGTCAAATGAGGTCATGGAGAAGAGAACATTGAGTTCAAGTCTATACTGTCCAATATGGTAGCCACCAGCCATATATAACTATTTGGATTTAATTAAAAGGAAATAAAAGGAAACATTTTGTTCCTCAGTTACACTAGTCACATTTCAAGTGCTCAATGGCCACACGTGGCTTGTGGGAACCATGTCAGACAATATTCAGAGATATAGAACATTTGCATTATCACAAAGTTTTATGACAGTTCTGCCTTTAAGTACTATCTAGAGTGTGATATTAAGGACATAAAAGATGTCCGATTTTAGGGGTGATAAATACTGTCATAGCTAAGGATTCTTGGAAAGAAACAGGACCCACTCAAGTTAGCTGAAATAAAAGAAGGGACTTATTTGATTAATTCAGGGAAAACTTACGGATCCCAAGGGTTGGAATCATAGCTAGGCTTCAAAAGGGATTAGAAGCAGTTCCTAGAAGGTCATTAGGAACTAAGGAAGTCTCTCTCCTTCTCACTGTCTCTTTTTCTCTAGCCTTTTTCCTGTGGTCACTTATGTTTTTGTCTCTTTTCTCTGTATGTTGATAGCTTTTCCCATCTCCCCTTCTTTTTTCTCCTCCTCCTCCCCTCCTCCGTCCCCTCTCTGCAGACCAGCTTTCTCAGCTGCACTATACATGGTCCAAATAGGGCTCAACTAGACCCAGTTCTCATCACTTCTCAGGGATAATGTGTAACTAAGGCTTCGTCCTGATTCCAAATTCCCAGGGCAAATATTCTTATTAGCCAGCTTGGTGTGATAGCCACCAATCAGCTGTATTCAGGAGGATGAGGTGGTGGTCCCATGCTAGCTCATTAGGGGCAGTGGTGGGGGGGGGGGTGCAGTAGATGCTCTCAAAAGGAGCATATGAGGGATGGGTCATTGACTACCATACTCATCCTTAACACCTTGGAGAGGTCCATTGAGCCTATGGTCACACAGGGAGAAGTAACCAGATATTTGACCGAGGTCATGAGGAAAAGGAGTATGATACCTTTTCTTATTGGTTATTTGCATGGCTTGAATCACCAATACAGATTCCCAGGGGTTTGGCTTAACTTCTACATCTATATACCTGAATGGAAGTGGGCACAGCCAAATGCAAGGTGGAAATCTGGTCTAAGCCTTTGTCATTTCTTAAATTCAAACTGGGCACTTATGAGACCCTTTTCTCTCCTTAGGAAGAAACATGAGCTGCCCCTGGAAATCACTCAAGAGGAAGATGGAAGAGGCCATTTAAAATAGATTAGAAGCTGCAGGCCGCAAGACTGGGGCCAGAGGGCTGTCAGTGGAAAACTCTGTTGGGTTGTGATCTCTTACTGAAAAATTCCAGGTGCCTTTTTGCTTCCTGCAAAACAAAGGAAGCAAAGGAGAAGACCATGTCCATAGCTCTGAAGCAGGTGTTCAACAAGGACAAGACCTTCCGGCCCAAGAGGAAATTTGAACCTGGCACACAGAGGTTTGAGCTCCACAAACGGGCTCAGGCATCCCTCAACTCGGGCGTGGACCTGAAGGCAGCCGTGCAGCTGCCCAGCGGGGAGGACCAGAACGACTGGGTGGCCGTGCATGTAGTGGACTTCTTCAATCGGATCAACCTCATCTATGGCACCATCTGCGAGTTCTGCACGGAGCGGACCTGCCCTGTGATGTCAGGGGGTCCCAAATATGAGTATCGGTGGCAGGATGACCTCAAGTACAAGAAGCCAACTGCACTGCCTGCTCCCCAGTACATGAACCTTCTTATGGATTGGATTGAGGTCCAGATCAACAACGAAGACATCTTTCCAACATGTGTGGGTAAGTCCATGACCAGCTTCTTGATTATTTTGTCACATCCCACCCAAGCTCAGAAAGTTTGCAGAACTTTCTTCCAGGACTGCCTTTGAATGCTGGATACCACACATCCTCAATCAATGTTTCCCCAAATTCCATCTCTCACATACCTGCCGTTTCTTTTTCCATATCTAAGAACCTCATTGAAATTTTGAAAAATATCATTTGTGGACCACTTACAATGATTTCACGGACCTCAGTCATGAAATTACACATACCACAAGCTGGGGAACATTGACTTGGTGAAATGTTAAATTTGATCTTGCCGGTTTCCTTAGGACTAGACTCCAAACCCACCCAGTCATTCTGGTAAGGTTCTTATTATTTGACTAATTAACTAGTTAAAGTTACATTACCTCTTGTGCAGTGACTGGTTCTCATCTCTCAGGTTAAGAAATCCTAGTATAAGAATCCATGGACTTGTTTGGGGAATCAATCAAACAAGGGGTAGCATTCTGGGAAAATAAAATTCCTTCTCCTGATCATAGGTTATTAATCCTAGGTTGTGCTGTTCACTCTGGACCCTTGTGCAGTTGCTGGACCCACCAGGATATTACATGTTTTTGCATTCCTAGTGTTGCAAGTCACACACCTTTTCTACCCCTTGTACTTCTCTGTGCTTCTGATCATTGGATTTTCCATGCCCTACCAGGCTGGATTTAAAATTCCGTTCTTTGGGCCATAGGTACAGTGGGAAAAAGCAGTCTCCTTACTTCCATTGTCATATGGCCAGTGTCTAGCTAGCACGGTGCCCTGGAACCCTTGTAGGCACTCAGGAAATATTTGTGGAATGACTGAAAAAGTACATGTGCTGTTGGAAAGTATTACTAACAAGTTCTGAGATGGTTGGGGTATAAAAGAAGCATTTGAAACACATCGTTGAAATCACCTCTAGTTGGGATGTGTGTCCCCAGGTGGCATATGGAAAGTCGAGGTGGGGTGTATGGAAGTAATTAACTTAATACCGGGGGGGGAAGTGTATAAATTGATTAAGGCAACGTGTACACCGTGAAGTATGCAGCACACAAACCAATTTGCTCGGAATCATGGTGTTGCCTTGACTTGCCCAGTCCCCTCATGCTCCTCTCTGCTGTCCCTTGTTAGGGAAGGAGGTGGGGGTGGTACAAACCCTGACCAACCAGAACAGGAGGCAGAAGGCAGGCTTCCAAGCCCCCTCGCCAGCCATACCATAGGCACCTCCAAGGGGTGGGAATTTTTTAGGTTCATGTCTTTTTGCACTTTCTTGGACTGTCAGAGACTTCTTTTTTGCCGGAGAAATATTTCTTTTCCAAAATCATTACAAGCCTCTGCCAATGCTCTGCGGAGAACATCTGCTAGCAATAAAGATAAATAAATATGGGCAAGGGGACTCCTCTTGGTCTTTTCCCGTCTGCTTCTGCGTCTTGGTGCTTTGAACTTGGGTACTTCTGTTCTCTGGCATCTCTGTTAACCACACGGTGCTGGTGACCAGAAACACATCACAGAGCCATGGTGTGTTACTTGAGAATGAGGAAGCTCCTGGAGGTGGTTTTAGACTTTGCTTGGAGGAAATCAGTGGATGTTGCCATGTCCCCCACAGTAATTGACTTGGCTGTTTTTTTCCTAGTCATTTTTATAGCCATTCATTGTTTTTGAGGAGTATATTCACCTGATCATAATCCTTCCCAATTTATGCTCCATAGGACACCAGTGTTCTAAGAAATCTTAAAAAAGAAATGATTTTTTTTTTCTCCATGAAAAACAAGTCTGGGAAGTACTGAGTGAAATTGTTTTCTTTACAGCAGTACTTTTAATATGTTAGTATGCATTATGCATCTCCAAGAAAGGAATAAGACTTTAGTATGTGATGTTTCCTCATTTGAACCTGCTGGGTTTTTCGTTTTGTTTTTTTAATGGAACACCATTAGCCTCTTTTGGGAAATGTGGATCTTTATAAATTAGACTTGTCAAACTTTTGTTTATATCAGAATTGCTTGGGCATTCTGTTAAAAATCTAAATTCCATGGTCCTTCCCCTTAACAACTAAATTAGAATCTCTTAGGTAAGACCTAAGAATTTGCGCCTTTTTTTTTCTTTTCAGTTTATCTCATGGTTTATTCTCATTGGTGGCCACATGGAGCCTATAGAGTTGAAAACTCATTTGACATACACAGATACACTCTGGGTGTCTCCTAGTAAATACTGTGTACCCAACACTCTCTCCTCTGTTTACTTTAACTGCCCAGAATGCTTCTCATTCCCCAGGAACAGTCTGTTTCTTACCTCTCTGTGTTTATCCATGTTGTTTTCTCCTGGAATCACCATGTTCTCTCTCTAGTGAATTCTCATGTCTTCTCCCACTCATTGAGTGTAAGCCCCTTAAAGTTATGGGATATGCCTTTTTCATTCGACTAGCTCAGCACTGATCCAGTCTCGGTGCCTTATAAGTTGTTGAAGGGGTTGGTGGATGGATGGAAGAAGGAAGGATGGAAAATAATTTTTAGAAAGTCCTAACATGTGTATGTTGCTTGGATCAAAGTGCAGTTAAACAAATGTCTCTGAATTCCTTTATTCTCATCCTGGGTATTTTGTGCACCTTGCATCCACAAAGTTTAATTTCCCCTGTTTAACTTCTCCAAGGTGAAATGTTAGGGTTCAGTAAAAACTACCATCACCCTGAGGGTCTTCATCAGCATCCTGTTCACCTGTTATTTGCTCCTGGACCATATTTTTGCCATCTTTTGAAGTAGCTCATCTTCACAAAGCACTTTCTGTGTTAGAGTTCACTTCCTCCTCTTCCCACCCTGCCTCTCCCACCAGTTCCAGCCTCCTTCTCTTCTTTTTTATCTCTGTGCTGCTATGACTCATCATTATCATGGAAATGATCAAGACATCTGTCAGGATAGAGTAAAAGGAGAATTCTCAGCAAACAGCAGACCCTGGGTGGATGAGAGATGGGAGCTTCTGCTCAGCATTACAGCTTTGAATCCTAGGCCTACTTCTGTGTTCTTGTCTGGGAATTGGGAGGGGTTCAACCTTCATCTCCTCCCCACTGTGATCCAAGGAAATAGAACCGGAAAATACTGACAGATGTGAAGGTTTCGCCCTCGGTTAGGTATTAAAGGATACAAACAGCTGTTGATCAGCACCGCTGAAATGCGGAGGAAAGAGAAGCTTTCATCTGCTCCCAGAGTCCGGTGTGACTGGGAGCCCCGTGCTGTTTCAGAGCTGAGCCTGCTCAGTGGGGAGAATACCAAACAGATGTGGCTCCCTTGGGAACCACAGTCTCCTGCGCTTTCCCTGGATCCTCTCCAGTTCCTTTGTTACCAAGCCAGCAGATGTCCCGGCTAAAGCTCCTGAGATAGCAGTCACTTCAGAAGCAAGGGCCTTCCTCTCTTCGATTGTGTCTCCCTCCACTTTCAGAGACGATGACAGAAAATCAGGAAGCCTAAGAAGCCACAACCTCGTGCCCCTATTGTTGTCTAATGACAATAATTTTTCTGTTCTAGCCCTTAACTTCCCATTGCTGTTTTTTTTTGTTATTATGTAATAGGATTTACTCTCTTAGATCTGACACTCTGAAAAAAATGGGTAGAAAACTTAGAGCTCCTCCAACTCATGTTTTTAAAAAGTCTTTGAACAGGAAGAATAAGAATGTTTAAAAAAAGAATTGCATGATCTCACCTACCTTTATGGTTTTAGGATAAATGGGTGTCAGGAAAGGAAAGATGAGGGAAATGAAGGGAGGGATGCAGGGGAGGGAGCTCATATTTATCGAGCCTGCTAAGTGCCAGGCACTATTAATCTTTCTTAATTCTTACAATAACTCAGTGAATTAAATATCTCATTTTACCAATGAGGAAGTTGACATTTAAACAAGTTAAGGGGCTTTCCAGTTATACAGCTAATAAGTCATGTAGAAGTCAGCATTTTAGCTCAAGAGTGTCTGGCCAAAAATCTATGCCTCTGTCACCCACTACCATTCACGGCATGTATCATTATTTTGTAAATTTTCCTTCACATAACTAAAGACTTCAATGGTTTTCCGAAGTTGTCTAGGGTGGAGAAAATTTCACTCCTGTTTACAAAGTTACCTCTGGAATGCCTGAGAAGTATACTACCATGGTAACCGTTCCCACGCTGCATCCCAAGGTTGGACACAGGGTGACTTAGTCTTGAGAAAATGCTTTGTGAGCTCAGGGCTACCTGTTACTGCCCTTCGGTCATTCATTTAGTCAGAAAACATTTGTCGAGCCCCTGCTTAGAAGCAGGCCCTATTTGAGGCTCTGAGAGAGAGCAAAGCAGACAGAGATCACAGCCTTGAGCTGTTTCCCTAATGTCCAGAATGTCAGGTTGCTCCAAATTGCTCTACATGTTTTTCTAACATGAGTGTGTGTGTCGGCCATGTGCATTGTGCGGAGTCGCATCCCTCCGCCAGCCCTTCCCAGGAGACTACAGCTGAGTTTCATCCGCTCTCAGAGTGTTGTGGGAGGAAACACGAACCTATATAACTCTCCACAGAGATAAGCTTCTCAGTCGTGGGGTGTTGGAGAACTGAGTTTATAATGAGCCTTTACATTTTAACTTTTTATTTTCTGTTGCAGGTTTCCCTCATGGTTTTTTAAAAAAATTTTGATATGCATTTATATAACACTGGTGAGACAGTATATACATCAAATAATATGCTGGCGGCGTGGTCGGCCCAGCACTGGGCTGGTCCACACACTTGGGTAAGGTCAGCTGGTTCCACAGGAACAGTGGTGCCGGTGGACACTTGGCCTCCAGCAAGCAGTTCTCTGTGAAGAGGGGCTGCTGGAAAGATGAAATGAGGCAGTGGGACTCAACGCTGCTGGCCCAGCCCTGGCCGGTCTTGCTCAGTGGTTAGAGTGTCGGCCCTTGAACTAAAGAGTCTAGGGTTCGATTCCGGTCAAGGGCACGTACCTCAGTTGGGGTTTGGTCCCCAGGCACTGGTGGGGGTCGTGTGG